GAGGATGTCAAAGACAAATGGGCAAAATTCTGGACATTTTTAACATGACAGACGGGGAGATGGGAAATGTGTGCACAGGAACTAATGGATCACCACAAAACCTGTCAGTATATTTTATAAAGTCTAGTGTATGCGAAGTGGCCGCAGAAAGTATTTGGCACTTAAGATACACCTAAAATCACTGCATTAGAAACAAAATACCAAATCAAGTGGCAATTATTTTAAAGAAAATATATAGAAATGCACTTTTGAAGCAAAACATTTCAAAGAAAAAAAGTTTGTTAGGTTTTGAATGATGAAACAATAGATATACTGTTAAAAGTATAGACAAATGTACAGTATCTGGATCCTTTCTGGTTGTCAAAGTGGTGTTAGTGGATCATGTTCATAGTTAATGTGATCAGCTATTTCTATTGGTTATTCGTGTGTGAACGAAGGGGAACTTACTTACTTAATTCACTAAAGTGATCTTGGCAGGAATTGGTTGCAAAAATGGCTCAGAAAAATGATATTAACTCTGAGAAAAGAAACAGAATTGCAATCTGCAAATCTGCAACTGATAACAAAATACTAGACTACTCTTCTCAGAGTTTGTGTCACTTTTCTGAGTCATTTTTGCAACCAACTCATCCCAAGGTCATTTTAATGAATGTATAAAGTTCTCCTCAGTTCATATTACGTGTCCTAAAGTAACCACAGGTGTACTTCATCACTCTGAACATGATCCACTAATGTTTGACAACCAGAAAATATCCAAATATGTATTTATTTTTTTAAACTAATACAATGAAATTCAATTGTGGCCCAACACAAATGTGTCCAAATACATTCTGGAGCCGCTGTATGTGACTGATGGTGTGGTTGAATGCATACTGGTTCTTACCAGAAAGGCACAGATGCTCCTCTGAGGAGACTCCCACTCAAAGCAAGTGGCGCGCGGGGAGGGCTGGCACAGAGCGGTCTTTATGTGCACCACTCTGCCAGCCAGAACAATGGCCCATATTCACCCAGCGCAAACGCTCAGCTTACAGGTGTTCATGGAGAGGGGAGGCAGACGCGCACAAACACTCACGCTGACAACCACACACACTTGAACGAGCACATGCACACACACGCATACTCTCCTAGCTTTGTCCATTGTGGATATGCCATGAGCTGTGTCGTCTTGACTGGCTGGCCATTATCGAATGTGTGTGCGATCATGAATATACGGCTTACAAAAGTTAACCACCACATGTAAAGATTTATTTTCAGTGATGACTGTCGCCCATTGGTTGTCAAACAGACAAAGTAATGCCATTTTTTAATAAATTAATATTTTCATTCTGCAAAGACATTCAGTTGATCAAAGGTGACAGTAAAGACATTTATATTGTTACAAAGATTCCATAAACTATGTTCTTTTGAACTTTCTATTCATCAAACATTTCAGAAAAAAAAATTATAATAATCACGGTTTCTACAAAAATATTAAGTAGCACAACATAAGACATTTTTCAGCCAATGATGACTGTTGGCCTTTAGTTGTCAAATAAATTAATATTTTCATTCAGCAAGGATGCATTAAATTGATCGAAAGCAAGAGTAAACATTTATATTGTTACAAAATATTTCTTTAAAATAAGCTATGTTCTTTTGAACTTTCTATTCATCAAACATTTCAGGAAAAAAAATTAGAATAATCACGGTTTCTACAAAAATATTAAGTAGCACAACATATTTTTCAGCCAATGATGACTGTTGGCCTTTAGTTGTCAAATAAATTAATATTTTCATTCAGCAAGGATGCATTAAATTGATCGAAAGCAAGAGTAAACATTTATATTGTTACAAAATATTTATTTAAAATAAGCTATGTTCTTTTGAATTTTCTATTTATCAAACTATCCTGAAAAAATAGTCACCATTTCCACAAAAATATTAAGCAGCACAACTGGTTTCAACATTAATAAAAAATAAAAATAAAAACTGCTTGTCAAATAGGTAGTCCAACCCCCGAACTAATGCCTTTTTTTAAAACAAACTAATACTTTCATTCAGCAAGGATGCATTAAATTGATCAAAAATAACAGTAAAGAATATTCTTTTGAACTTTCTATTCATTAGAGAATCTTGAAAAAGATAAACTTGTTTCCCAAACAAATAGAAACGTTGTTTTGTGAAAACAGCACAACTGTTTTTAACATTGATAATAATAAGAAATGTTTCGGCCAAATACAACTGTCAGTTATTGGTCATCAAACAGATAGTCCCACCCCCTAACTGATGCCATTGTATGGTTGTGTCAAACACGTCTGGATGCTTAAAAATTTTGAACATAAAAATGGCCTACTTTGTGTATTAAACTGGGATCCAACACAATATTTTACTTCCATGCTTTACCTTTAAGGAAAGGAGCAGAGTATTTGGAGCACCAGCAAACAAAGAAAAAATCTTTGAAAGAGTTTCTGCAACAAAATCCAAACAACATCAACAAAAACACCAATACAACCTCAAAAAACGCTAAAAACAAGAACTCTAAAATGTCAAAAAGGCACAGACCTAAAAATACCAGAATAGCAAATCACAGCACTTGCCGCCACCGCCACTCGCAGCTGGTTTTATCTGAGCATCGCAAGCAGCCCCTTTGCTTTGGCTAACCTTTGTGCGGCAAGCACCGGAGGTTCTGCAACTCTTGAATGCGAAATCACCTCCGTCTGACTATTGTATTCTTTTGGCTTACAACTGTCAACGGCTGACAGAACAGCACAGATGTGGGTCTCAGCGCAGCGGTGAAGGCTCACCTGAACCAGATGGCTGGTGATAAAGAAAGAAATCAGTGTGATGATTAAGAGAGCTCTTAGGGAGGGAGATTTAGACTGTAAAGAATAGCATTACCAGCCAATGGGACAACTGTGAAAAAAAAATACAAAAAAAGCAACAACAAAAAAATTTTTTTTATAACTTTGGTAGTTCAGGTCAGACGTACTGAACTGAATGTGACTGAATAATAATTTTTATAATAGCATCTGAACATTAAGAACAAATGTAATGTAATAGTTTTTGTTTTATTCTCCTCAAATCTCTTGACATTTCTTTCTCTGACATTTCCCCCGACAACCATGAAGGAAAAGAAAAAAAAAGTTCAACTAAAATGTTAGCTGATCGATACAGCTGTCCCTCCGCTCACGCGTGTGCCCTCGGCTTTTGCTTTCGGAAGTGTACCGAAATTAAAATGTGTCAAGCAGCAAATGTTAATGGCCTACCCAGCGACACTTAAAGACACGCGAGTCCCAAAACAGACAGGCCCTACAGCAAATTATGCAGCATCACAGGCAAAGATTAGCCAGCATGTCCTGTGCTAGCATTTAGTCACACAGCCCACTCACAAAGGGTGTCCTTTTCATGAAGGTTCAACTGTCCAATTAAAATCTGAAGGTGCACCACGCTATGAAAGAGACTGTCGTGAATTCAGACGACTTCACCCGAGGTGCCAGAGTATTACTGGAGATCTGAGAGGACTGCTGGAGGATGTCAAAGACAAATGGGCAAAATTCTGGACATTTTTAACATGACAGACGGGGAGATGGGAAATGTGTGCACAGGAACTAATGGATCACCACAAAACCTGTCAGTATATTTTATAAAGTCTAATTTTTTTATAACTTTGGTAGTTCAGGTCAGACGTACTGAACTGAATGTGACTGAATAATAATTTTTATAATAGCATCTGAACATTAAGAACAAATGTAATGTAATTGTTTTTGTTTTATTCTCCTCAAATCTCTTGACATTTCTTTCTCTGACATTTCCCCCGACAACCATGAAGGAAAAGAAAAAAAAAGTTCAACTAAAATGTTAGCTGATCGATACAGCTGTCCCTCCGCTCACGCGTGTGCCCTCGGCTTTTGCTTTCGGAAGTGTACCGAAATTAAAATGTGTCAAGCAGCAAATGTTAATGGCCTACCCAGCGACACTTAAAGACACGCGAGTCCCAAAACAGACAGGCCCTACAGCAAATTATGCAGCATCACAGGCAAAGATTAGCCAGCATGTCCTGTGCTAGCATTTAGTCACACAGCCCACTCACAAAGGGTGTCCTTTTCATGAAGGTTCAACTGTCCAATTACAATCTGAAGGTGCACCACGCTATGAAAGAGACTGTCGTGAATTCAGACGACTTCACCCGAGGTGCCAGAGTATTACTGGAGATCTGAGAGGACTGCTGGAGGATGTCAAAGACAAATGGGCAAAATTCTGGACATTTTTAACATGACAGACGGGGAGATGGGAAATGTGTGCACAGGAACTAATGGATCACCACAAAACCTGTCAGTATATTTTATAAAGTCTAGTGTATGCGAAGTGGCCGCAGAAAGTATTTGGCACTTAAGATACACCTAAAATCACTGCATTAGAAACAAAATACCAAATCAAGTGGCAATTATTTTAAAGAAAATATATAGAAATGCACTTTTGAAGCAAAACATTTCAAAGAAAAAAAGTTTGTTAGGTTTTGAATGATGAAACAATAGATATACTGTTAAAAGTATAGACAAATGTACAGTATCTGGATCCTTTCTGGTTGTCAAAGTGGTGTTAGTGGATCATGTTCATAGTTAATGTGATCAGCTATTTCTATTGGTTATTCGTGTGTGAACGAAGGGGAACTTACTTACTTAATTCACTAAAGTGATCTTGGCAGGAATTGGTTGCAAAAATGGCTCAGAAAAATGATATTAACTCTGAGAAAAGAAACAGAATTGCAATCTGCAAATCTGCAACTGATAACAAAATACTAGACTACTCTTCTCAGAGTTTGTGTCACTTTTCTGAGTCATTTTTGCAACCAACTCATCCCAAGGTCATTTTAATGAATGTATAAAGTTCTCCTCAGTTCATATTACGTGTCCTAAAGTAACCACAGGTGTACTTCATCACTCTGAACATGATCCACTAATGTTTGACAACCAGAAAATATCCAAATATGTATTTATTTTTTTAAACTAATACAATGAAATTCAATTGTGGCCCAACACAAATGTGTCCAAATACATTCTGGAGCCGCTGTATGTGACTGATGGTGTGGTTGAATGCATACTGGTTCTTACCAGAAAGGCACAGATGCTCCTCTGAGGAGACTCCCACTCAAAGCAGCTGTTGATATAGCAGCCAGCATTGATCAGGAACATGATACAGCGCCTCACTCTGTTGAAGTTCTGCAGCAGCAGCTGAGTGACAGAACAACAGTGACATTTCTCAATTAAACTGATTCACACTGACAAAACTACCAAACTAAAATAATTTTTTTAAATAAGGAAAATCATTACGCCTATAAAATGTCCCCATTTAGATAGCTAAGTAAACGTGCGTGTGTGTGTGTGTGTGTTTGGCAAACATACAAAAACATTTTTAAAAAATCTTACAGACCACAAACTTTTGAACGGTAGTGTATATAATATACATTTTAAATGATCATAATTTTAGTCATTGCTTATAAATTGATGTTGAAAATCTTAGGTCTAAAAGCACTACAACAATTGACTTTCAGCATTTAGACATAATGGGAAAAGTGATGTTAAGGAATAACACCAAAAATATAATGCAATTAAATATATTTATTTGTCATGTCTCTTTAATAAAAAGGTCTTATTCATGCTTCTGAGTGCGGGTGAACGGAAAATGACCGCTGCTTCCTATGTTCACAGGAAGATCAAACGCTCCTGCTCGCATTATGGCTTTAAAATGCTACGGCTTTGATCATAGTAAATATGTGAAGTGTAGGATTCGGGCCATCCCTTTAAAGTAGGCCTTTTCTGTTTGTCATTTGGGATTAATCAAAGTACATTTGAGGTGAAATACAATACCACACTACTAAAGAATAAAATATATCCGAGATGTTTGACAAAATGAGCTTCAGCAGTCGAAAGGACAGTATCAAGAAGTAAAAGCAAATCTTGTGGAGATAAATTTGATATGTTGCCCTCACTTTTCAGTTCGTGTGCACATCTTGCTGTCTCACTCGCAAACAGTTTAGGTGGGGGGCAAATTCACATCGAAAAAGTGCAGAGTGGGCACTTTCTAGCATGCATTCAGTTCTGCTTTATTGCGTCAGAGAGAGTGTCTGTGTGTGTGTGTTTGTCCCAAGCAGTGTCTCAGTGACAGGTCTGATTTGGGACAACCCCTACAATTCAGCTCTTTGTCAGGGATGGGGGGGAGACATTGAACAGGGTGACAAAAAGAAGCACAGCAGAATAACCACTGAGGTCCAAACTAAAGGATGGCCAATCTACTTATGCACCCCCAGCATTGACAGCTTGACATTTCTATTCAGCACCTCCAGAAGAGAAGGAAGAGACAAGGAGAAAGAGCAAGAGAGAGGGGGAAGATGAGGAGAAAGATGCTGCTGTCTACGACTTATGTTGGTGGGGGGTAATTTTATCAATGTCTTCAACAAAGGTGCGATTAAAGTGCTCTTGTTACCTGTTTGGACACTCGCGGCTCCTCTTCGATGTATTTCTGCTCGATGGGAATCAAAGTTCTCAAGCCGGCTTTTACCTGCAACATATAAACTTCATGCATAATCCACCATCGAGTTCAAGACATGATCACGATGCATCATTAACGAGCTAATATATGAAGACATCCCTCCATTTCACACACTCCACACCACACGGCCATGTGATGCTCTCTCAGACTCCCGCCTAAAATGGCGGACGGACACACACACAGCGGTACACAGACACACAAATAAAAGGCTGAGGAAAGGGGAGTCTTCAGTAATTAAAAGAGAGAATGAGGACAGGGACAGACAGCCAGGGAGAGGCTGAAGAGAACAAGCAAATAAAAGAAGTGAAAAACGCTCGAAAAAAGCAAGCGAGTAAAAGAGAGTGGGACTTACAATGTTATAAATCACGTCTATTTCGAGAAAGATGACCCCTTTGGTTGGCCCTGTCAGTTCCTTGCTTTTCAAGGCGTAAGCTTTGCGTTCTCCATTTTGGATCTGCGGGAGAGGGACATGACAGCCGTCTGTCTGGCAATACCCAGCTGAATACACTCTCTGTGTGACCTTTGAACCCCAGCTGCTGCATCTGACAGAGAGCCCAAAACAACTGTGGCGGCTCTGACAAGTACCTGTTCATTACGGCCCGACCACTGTCAGCTGCAAATTAACTATCCTGGGGAATCAGCCTGGGAGCGCACATTGCGTCCCCCCTTATCTTTTCTTTCTTCTCTGTTTTTGTTAGTAGCTTTTTCCCCCCAGTGTTTTTCTCACTTTCACATCTTACTCTATGATTACTCAAATCAATAAAGGTTAGACACATGCTTTGATTATTCCCCCCAACATTTTTTGTAAACTTGTGTGTGTGTGTGTGTGTGTTTTTGTCACTTTTACATTTTACTCTGATTACTACAATCAATAAAAGTTAGACACACGGCAATTTTTTAAAAATATATTTTAGTGCATTTTTCCAATCTCAAACTGATTCATTCTTGTAAGAAAAAGTCTGTAAACTCAAAACTTACATTTAACAACGGTATAGCCACTTTGCCCAAGAAGTCGGCACTTCGGTCTCTGTCTTCGTCAAAGACAGTCACCTCTAAGACTGAGTGGATGTCTTTCACATTGCTAGTTGAAGAAAAAGGGGTAGGTGAAGAAGTCATCGACTAATATTAAACACTGAAAAGATCTTTCAAGTCATGACAAAAAAATGTGATTCATCTAAATCCTTGGTGGCAATCTCCATTAAAAAAAGATGCTGCAATTCTCCACTTGAAATGCTATCTTTGAAAAGTAGGCTAAAGAGGAGAAGTCTAATGAAAGAAAATGAGGTTATTCTTTAAGAGATGGGCGCTCCTAGGAGAGGCTAGATTACCCAGCTTTCCATGGGAATTCACAAATGAATTTCCAGCCGTGAAGATTGAAAGATTATGAAAAAAAACATCAACCTCTAGATATCGAACTAATATAAGAAATTATGTATGGCACATTATCAAACAGCACAATGGCTGTACTTGCAGAGGGAGTGTAATCTCAAACAAAAAGTTAATTTTCTTCTTAAAGAAAAAAGTTTACTTATGTGTCACATTTTCATCTACCAATACAAAGCTTAATTAAATAATCCTGACTACATTATCCTGTAATCCTCAGTTCTCGGATGTATATCTCTATAAATCACATAGCCCATAAATACGGTATTTATTACTAAGCTTTTTCAATACACTGAATTAAAAATATATTTTTCCCACTTTTCATTTAATATCTTTTTATTTGGTTTACAATGACAAATTATATAATTTTCAAAATAGATAAAAAATAAATCAACTGCAAATTAATCATGATTTAATTTGCAATTATCATATTCTTTGCAGACTTAAAAATATTTACATTTTATACATTTACTTTTTTATATCAGCATTTGATATACTTTTATCAGTAGTGTAGTGTACTTGAAAATATATGATAAATTGTCAGACTGAAAATATGTGATTAAATGCAAATGCAAGCACTCTAGCACATGCAGATACACGCTTTTGACACTTACAACGTGAAGACTTTGTTCCACTCTGGGTTGAGGTTTTTGTACACGGTGTGCGTCTGTAACCGATCGTTGCTGAGCTCCACTACACAGAAGGGGTCACTCTTGCCTGTGAGGGACACACACACACATTAACTTTATCAGTTTCATTGAATTTACTGTGGTGTAATCCACTGGGTGGTGCGCTGGGGGGAATAACTACCTGATAAAGGTGAGGGGACAGTGAGCCTGAAGGGCTGGATCAAACCACACTGCTGTCTTTACCCAAACTAAAGCTTCAGCAGCAACTTATCACTGTGGAGCTGATTTGATATATTCATTTTGCCCCTGTGTGGTGTCGTTTGCTGTGGTTACACCGATAGAGCAGTTCGCACACAGGCAGATAAGCATTTCAGCCTTTGCGCTGCCCTAGAGCACTGTAAGGACATCTCTATCTCTGTCTGGTGTGAACACACACACATAGCTGGTCGTAGATGGGAATGATGACTTAAAAACACATGAACTGAATGTGGGAAATTTATAGAAAAATTTCCAGCCAATATATATGGAGATCATTGTAGATATTATCATGAGGCTTTCCGGTTGCTGACAGGGCATTCACATCGATAAATTAAAAGTGAGACACTTTTTAATAATCCTTTTTATCAATATATTTTTAAAAGTTCAATAGAATATTTTAATTCATGTACGAAATGCATTATTATAAGAAGTTGACTCTAGAGACATATTTATATAATCCACTGTCCTACATGCTTTGAAATAAACTATTAATATACGCATGTAAATAAATGTTCATAATTTAAAGGAATATTGTTCTCAACAAAAACTTAAACAACAAACTCTTCATATCAGCTTTGATCTAAACTTTTAGTCATTAAACAAATCTCTGAACAAAACAATTGGGAGCACTTTTGTTGTTTGTTGCAGAGCATAATTTTTAAAAGCTGGGGCCAAGAATAACATCCATAATGGTAATTTTAAAACGTGCTGCAAAGTTAAAATGCAGTATGAAACACTTCACTTCCCTGCATGCGAATAAAAGAAGCAAAGACATTTAGTTGACAAGCAAAATAAATGTCACAGTGATCAATGGAAAGTCCTTGCTGTCACCAGGCATATCAATTTCAGGGGTATATTGATCAGACTGAATCTTTTTTTAAATTCACCGTTTTTATACTCAGATGTATTTACATGCAGTGATTACGCTGGAATGTGTCTGATATAATAAAATAAGTTGACTAAATTGTTACAACCAAAATCTAGATTGTGAGTTTAATTTTAAACAAAAAGTGTGTACAGTATATTTTACAGTATACTGTATTTTTATGGAGTAGTAGAAAAAATACAGAAAAACAAGTTACAGAAATTCAGCTAGGAGATGAAATTATGGATTCACATTTTTATTTATTACATGAAAAAGTGTTTGCAAAAATAATAAAAGCATTTCAAGCATCTCATTTACAAAGTATTCACACAAATGCTTAATTTGCCATGACATCTAGTAATTGTGAGTATTTTCATCATTCAAAAATAATTTGCATCTGCTTAAATAAATGTATATTGATAGGCGCAAGAATGTACCACCCTATTCAATATCCTCGCGTTGACACTCGGTCATCCTCGGCGACAAACTACTACGTGTTCGTGAGGCAGCTGTCTGAGCAAATTACACGCTTCGCACTGAATGAAACTTTGACTCCCCAGGTGTGGCCGAGCAGACGCTATCTGTGGGTTAATTCTGGGCAAATCCTCATAGACCGGCGAGATGAGTTCAACCTCATTCCGGCTGCAATTTGATGAGCGTGCGGCACGCTGACGTACAAAGCAGTAATTACATTTTTCAGGTCTGGAAGGCATTTTAAATGAAATGCAGGAACGGTGTTAAGCAGAAGTACCTGCATGAGAGGAGCATTTAACCGCCCATAGCATTAATATATACAAACACACTGATGGCAGCGAGGGCAGAACAGTTCCTACTTTTGTTTGAAAACTGATTGTTAAGGAAATTGCCGACTGCCAGAGTAATGTCTGCATCCGAAGCAATCTATGTGAAGTATTGAGTGGCTCTATTCAGAAGGAAGGCAGTCTCCTGTCCCTAAATACTGTTGGTTTTACACACTGTCACCATTTATCCTGCTGGCCTGGAGTGGAGGCACTCCAGATAAAAGCCTCAATTAATTACAATGAAAAACAGACAGAAAGGAGGGGTAGGACAAAAAAAACACACTCGGTGGTGCAAGAAAGAGAACTACGATTTCCCTCACTTTTCTTTTTCTCTCGGCCACATATTCTTTTATGTCCACTCTCCTTCCCTTCCACTTTTCCCGGACTCTCCCTGTCTCCAGTGAGCTCTCTATTAGAGGAGGCACTGTTCCGTGGCCCGTAACCTTGTTGGCTGACACCTCGGTGCCAGGGCCGATTGAGACGGTGAGTCCGTGAGCGAGTCGGGGCTCTTAGAAAAGCTTTGTGCGCCGGCGCTTTGTGGCGGGAGAGGAGTGTGAAATCAGAGCTCATGAGGAGGCCACGGTTTCCCAGGGAACGCCAGACCGTGCTACGAGGTCAACATAGTGGGCCGGACCCCCGGAGAGGAGCGAGTAAAGGGGCGATTGCAGAACTGTGCAGCGAGCGGGAAGGGGGAGGCTGAAGGGTGTGAGAGGGGAGGGGGGGGTGGTCTGCCATTGAGCATGTCTTAATTAAAGGCGTCGATTAGGCGATTAGAGAGACGTTGAACGCAAAGCGCTTAGCGGAGAGGAACCTCGCGAGATGCTCCACCTTAAGAGTGACGGTGCTAATGACCTCTACGTCTCTGCCTCTAATTCTCTCTGTCTCTCTCGCTCTTTGTCACTCCTGTTTATTTCTTCCGCCTCACACCTTGTCTGCAACCGATTGTGCAGCCTTGATTAATATTCTTGTGCTGCGATTCTCAGCTTCATTTCCCACACAAGTGGTCAAATCAGACTCAGAACTGACTTTTCCTGCAAAATCGCTAAAGCTACACAAATATTTTTCAGTGTTCAATATTTTTAATAGTCCCAAACTCGCGACAATGATGCTATCTGTTTGCCTGACCAACAGTGGATGATTTGGAGTGTTTGAGAACAACCTTTATTTTTGCAATTCTGATGGATGTCATTAGTGGAGCAAAAAGTACACTCTTCATCTTTAAAGAAATAATTTACTTAAAAATGAACATTCTGTCATCAGTTAATTACCATGTCTTTCCAAACTTGAATGACTTTCTTTTTAGTGTCTAACACAAATGTAAATACTAAGTAGAATGTTAAAGCTAGGTTTTTTTTATTCTATAAATTGAATATATTGCAGGCATTGGAAAGGTTGTTTTCTAGCTACTGTGACTCCGTAGTGTTCAATGCAAGAAACAAACTCTCATGGGTTTGTAGCGACATGAGGGTGCAGAAATTATTTTGTTTTATTTTGGGATGAACTACACTACCATTCAAAAGTTTGGGGTAAGATTTATTTTTAAAAAGAAGTCTCTTATGCTCATCAAGTCTGCATATGTTTGATTAAAAATACAGTAAAACATAACATTAAATATTATTACAATTTAAAATAAATGTTATCTATTTTAATATATTTTAAAATGGATTTTATTCCTATGATGGCAAAGTTGAATTTTAATCAGCAATTACTTCATTTTTCAGTGTCACATGATTCTTCAGAAATCAGTCTAATATACTGATGTGATGCTCAGTAAACATTTCTTATTATTATCATTGTTATTATTGTTGTTGAACAGTTGCACTACATTTTTTTCAGGATTCTTTGATGAATAGAAAGTTCAAAAGAACACAATTAATTTGAAATAGAAATCTGTTGTAACATTTTAACTTTTGATCAGTTTAATGCAGGGGTGTCCAAACTCGGTCTTGAAGGGCTGGTGTCCTGAAGAGTTTAGCTCCAACCCCAATTAAACACACCTAAACCAGCTCGCTCTCCCTCTGTCTTTTCGCTCTGTGTCACTCCTGTTTATTTCTGCCGCCTCACACCTTGTCTGCAACCGATTGTGCAGCCTTGATTAATATTCTTGTGCTGCGATTCTCAGCTTCATTTCCCACACAAGTGGTCAAATAAAACTCAGAACTGACTTTTCCTGCAAAATCGCTAAAGCTACACAAATATTTTTCAGTGTTCAATATTTTTAATAGTCCCAAACTCGCGATAATGATGCTATCTGTTTGCCTGACCAACGGTGGATGATTTGGAGTGTTTGAGAACAACCTTTATTTTTGCAATTCTGTTGGATGTCAGTGGAGCAAAAAGTACACTCTTCATCTTTAAAGAAATCATTTACTTAAAAATGAACATTCTGTTATCAGTTAATTACCATGTCTTTCCAAACTGGAATGACTTTCTTTTTAGTGTCTAACACAAATGTAAATACTAAGTAGAATGTTAAAGCTAGGTTTTTTTTTATTCTATAAATTGAATATATTGCAGGCATCTAGATACTGTGACTCCGTAGTGTTCAATGCAAGAAACAAACTCTCATGGGTTTGTAGCGACATGAGGGTGCAGAAATTATTTTGTTTTATTTTGGGATGAACTACACTACCATTCAAAAGTTTGGGGTGAGATTTATTTTTAAAAAGAAGCCTCTTATGCTCATCAAGTCTGCATATGTTTGATTAAAAATACAGTAAAACATAACATTAAATATTATTACAATTTAAAATAAATGTTATCTATTTTAATATATTTTAAAATGGATTTTATTCCTGTGATGGCAAAGTTGAATTTTAATCAGCAATTACTTCATTTTTCAGTGTCACATGATTCTTCAGAAATCAGTCTAATATACTGATGTGATGCTCAGTAAACATTTCTTATTATTATCATTGTTATTATTGTTGTTGAACAGTTGCACTACTTATTTTTGTGGGAACTGTGATACATTTTTTCAGGATTCTTTGATGAATAGAAAGTTCAAAAGAACACAATTAATTTGAAATAGAAATCTGTTGTAACATTTTAACTTGCCAGACCGTGCTACGAGGTCAACATAGTGGGCCGGACCCCCGGAGAGGAGCGAGTAAAGGGGCGATTGCAGAACTGTGCAGCGAGCGGGAAGGGGGAGGCTGAAGGGTGTGAGAGGGGAGGGGGGTGGTCT